ATGTTCTGTACCAACATCTATTGAAAATTTAATGATGATGCGCATAACCGTCTTGACTATAGAATGAAGTTAGGCAGTTTCTAATCAGACATGTTAAGCATATTAAGCTGGATTACATTTTAGGTTGATTAAGACTAGATCAGACAACCTCGGTTACATCTACCTTTGATTACGTTGGATTATCTGAACACAATGGAATTGAATACAATCGATAATTGAAATATAGAGAGAATTGGCAATCAAATTTATTACAAATACATTATAAATCATTTTTTACATAACAAGAATATCATTAAAAAAAAAAAAATAAACTTTAACGCGTGTATTATAAATTGTTCTAAATTAAAATTAAGAAAACATTTAAATTTTTTTCTTCCCTCCCTTTAAAATTGAGATATCTCAATTTTCTTACAAAGTGGAAAAATATAATATCATAAATCAACAAAATTCCTCATGAATAACGTAAAAATTTTATCATATAATCCATTTCTCTTTTTTCAAGATCCCCTATCACAAATTAAAATAATATTTAATTTTACTTTCTCGACGTTATCCCAATTCCTTTCGAAAATAAAGAAAACGACAGTATTCTCTGGGAGACGTAACGTAAAAAACTTTTATCCAACTCATTCATAAAAGTTTCATAAAACTACTGTCAAACAGAGTTCGACGTAAACGAACCAAACGCAGGATTAAAGGTCACAAGTTATCATGATGTCTTAAAGTAGATCGAAAGAAGACACGATACTTCAGGCTTGTTGAAAATTGTTACTATCATCGGTTAAAGAATAATATCCATGGAACGTGTTCTTTATTAGCACCACTTGGGATCGAGGGGTAGAAATTTTTCGCGGTTGGACCGGAGATAGATTTTGTGAGACCTTACGGATATGAATTTCATATTTTACGATAATACCGCGGGATGTTCTTAAAGTAAACGAATCTTGGCCTGCCGCAGTTTTCACGTAGTCGAAGAAAAATCGTACTTACTCCCGGATTCCGTGAAACGACTTTTATATCGATTTCTATCTGAACCTCTGCCCCGTTCATCTCGTCATAAATATCGAAGATTGAAAAACCGGCAATCCCAATCGTAACTCGATCCTTCATTCCTTTGTCACTCGAGAATTGATTCTCGATATTAATTTTTGCTGAAAATGTCTCTGAAAATCCAAATTAACTGAAAAACGTGTTGAATTGCTGCATGCAACAAACTTGCTGCATGAGTTATTTCAATCATTCTTAATTAAAATTAGCATTAGAATTCTTTTTTTTGCAAAATAATTAACTTTTCAAAAACTTGAAAAAATTCGTCTTAGAACGTATTCCTAATCGAGATTAGAATAAAAATTTTCAGAAAATGGACTCCTTTTATTTTTCTCTTATTCAAATTCTTAATTATTTTTCAACAAGTATACATAACTATATTTTAAACTTCTCCCATTAAATAGAAATCAAAATTCATGTGCTACGAATATCATATCAAAAATATATATATATTTCTTAATTGTACTTTACTCTGATATGTATGATCAAATAATTCAGATCACACGATGAAAACGCGTCAAAACGTAGATTAGTTCATTAAGGCCCGATGCACACGGGCTCTTACCGCGTAGAATAAGATCTTCTTTCTTTGTTTCTCTAATCAAGAACGACGAAGACAGTACAATACATTAGGGGGGAGCGAGAAGTGTGCGCCAGCTTCAAAACGCAGCGGACGTTAAACTGGCCTGGCTAGGACAAAGTTCATTTCATATCCCTCCCGTTTGGAACTGTTTGATCTCGTTTACCCTCCAACCCCCTTTCACGAAATTCGTTTATATCGGAAAATGTGAAATCATGTTTGCAGCGTTGGTGCGTAAAACGGGGTGCGGCTGGATGGGTATGTATAATGCGATCAAGTTAGAGGAAACCATTCATACAGGGAAGACGATAACATAACTGAAATTCGATTACTTCGTTCTATCGTTACGGCGAATCACCGGTTTATCACCGACCAAGAGGTGAGAGGGTTAAACGGTTATTTCCCTCGCCACGCTTCGCCCGTAATCGGTTCTAGTTTCAGCTGTCGCTCGTTGGATAGATAAAGTTAAAGGATCGTGTTATAATTGGCGATGTTCACGCGCCGTGGATTCCCTCGATTGTAAAACTGAATGCGATAATGGCCGGTCTAAACATCCCCGCTTATTGGCCGCGAGCTCGTTGAAGTAACGTGTACATCACAAGATACAATTAGCGGAGGGTAAAACGAGTTGTACTAATGTTACGCCATTTTCTTTCTCACGATTAATCAGAAGTAATTCTCATTTTCTTGATGTTATCGTTGCTGGCAATATCTCTAGGGAAATTTTAAGGGAAATTTTAATAAAATTATAATTGTGTTGTATATATGGATATATGTTTGATTGAAAGTATTCTTCTTGCTTTTCTTTTCTTTCTTTTGTATTTATTTAAAAATTAAAAAGTTATGAAGAATTATGATATTCTTTGTGTTTTTTTGGGGAGGAATATTTTTATATTATTAATATCGAGTAATATTGATTATACATATCATATTTTGATTGTATTTTTTCTTTTTTCTTTGATGTAATAACAGTGTAGAGTAATTATTTTGATTTTTATTCGATTGAGAATATTTTTCTAGTTCTTATTTTTTTTCGCTTCGTTAACTTGTTAAAAAATTTAGTAATAAGTTTATATTTCGACTCTTCTAACGTTATGACAATTGTAATATTTTTCCAATACTTTACTTCATTCAATTTTATTATTAAAAATATTCGTTTCGTTAATTTGTGGAATATTGTCACCATAAATTTTACATTTTCAAATATATACGAATAACTCTTGATTAACTCGTGATATTATAAGAGTATTATTTTTATTAGTATTATTTCACCATCTGAAAATTCTCAATTATTGGTACTTTGAAAACACGATTTTCCCGAATATTTAACTGCCACGGTTATTCACGTTGCTTGGCGACGTGTTTCCATTGATCAATGTTGAATGTTTTATTCAACATGATTTCGATGTAACGATGGTACGGGCGTCCATTTTATACGAATGTTGCCTGTAGTTTATCGAGACATATAAATCAATAAACCAAAACTAGTATCTTGTTTACAAAACTATTTATCTCCATCGTTTCTCTTGTGAAGTTTACGAAATATCATAACATAACTTAACTCAAATACAGCAAAGCGTTTCTAATATTTTCGAACATTTTATTAAAGTAAAATAATTTTCAAATTATTCCATTGTTCCAACAATCTCAAAATCTCAATAGTTTCTATTATTTTTGATCGAGAAACGTACGCGATTCTATCGCGAATTCCATGTTCAATTTACAGTTTCATTATCACGTATAGATCCGTTACATGTATCGTTACGATCTCCTCGACCAATTTCTGTTATTCTTCTTCTTGCTGGAACTTATATCGTTGATATTTTGTAACTATACCACGACCTACTTTGTACCATTATTCGGATTGTTTCCAAAGATTTGTCGACAGCGATCGAAAATCCAATATACTTAATGGAAAGTCGAACGCACGCGGTTGAACTACGAAAGATCTCGTTTATTTCGAATCAATCGATTCGAGGATTTTAATGGTCGTTTTTCTTTCGCGTCCCAGAAAATCATTTCAACTATGATAAAATTTACAATAATAATAGACAAATATATATAATTGTATACTTCGTATATTTAAAAGAAAGATATTGTATATTTTATATCGAAAATGAATGTAAAAAATCTTAAGTCCGTAGGATATAAAAAAATTTAATGAAATAAAAAGTAAACATAAATTAACTTGAATAAAATTGAGCTACGTTGATCAAATAATATATATACAGAAGTGAAGAAGAAAAAAATCATTTCTTATCAATGTATTTATAAAGAAAAAAAAAATAAAATAATAAATTATAAAGAACTATAAGAATGTGAGTCACTTAAAATATTACAAATATACTATATTTTTTTCTAATTATTATTATAGAACATAATTCGTTTAATGCACAAACAGATTCTTTGTTGCAAAATTAAATCGTCTGCAAAATGGCGCTGCGAATGAGATTAATTCCATTCGTGGCCACCATCGATGGTGGCACTACTGAGATATGTATTTCATTTTGTATACACAGTGAGGGGTGAGAAAATGGCTGCACAATTTTGCTCCATAATTATCATTTGGTGATGCAAATTGTATTGATATTTTTTGAATTATTATAAGAATATTGATATTCATAGATTTTAATATTAATTTCGGATTGCAATCGCATTATATTCTTTCGTAATATATCAACCGCTATTTAAATAATTGAATTATAAGACTGCACGCGCGTGACTTTGAACAATCGAGTTTAATTCCATCTTGAATATTCGCATCGTTTGACTCACGCGATCTTTATTAATGGCTCGTAATTTATCTCTCTTAAATTATTTTTTCCCCCTTTTTCTTGAAAATCGCCAGTATCGATTATTTATTTCATTGCAGACAGAAATATTGGAGGAAATGAGAAATGTCATTTATTATATAAATTCAATCTCGATTCATAAAGACACGTTGTTTTTAAACTGCTTTAAATTTTTCATTTTCGTTACTTCCAATACAATACAATAGCGTTGAAAAAGATAATTATAAATTGCAATAATTAAAAATAAGAGCATCAGTATCATTAAAATATTATCGAACAAAAGTTCATCTACGCTTAAAGAGAAATAACGTCAGGATAAACTTTCAAACAGCAATGAATATCAAAATTTTTCCGCTCAGACGCTTCTCTACACTCTCGCGTTCATGAAACCGTATAAATTAAGAGATATAACATCATAAAACTAACTGCTTAATCTGTTTCTAGTTGCTTCTTATGAATATCGGATACGTAAGCGGAATATCCGGATAATGTTGTTCGTATCGTTGGAAACGAGGCACGAACAATCGAGCCTCTGACAATGAGTGGAAGAGATACACACCCATGGAATTATTATGTTTCAGCTCTGCCCAAAGTGAAGCCTGTTATCGTATCGGAACGTGAACGTTACGACGCCGGAGACACTTTGAAGGCAAATTGTAGCTTACCACCCTCGAAGCCACCGGCTCATCTCTCATTCACCCTGAACAACGTGGCGGTAAGTGATACCTATAATCCACGCGTCATTATCGAATCCGCAGTTAAGGGGAAACCCGTGAAATTAATGGTTTAAGAGCGATATATACGATGTCTAACGTTATTGATTCGAATACGTATACAGTGTATTGTTTTCAATGGAATGTGGCTGGAGAAAGGAAGGTATTTATATTTCACTTGATTCGGGATGATGATGATTCGAAAGAATCGAAAAGAATGTTCGAATTTAACTTTGAGATAAAGATATTTACATTTTCCAAGGTAAATTTTATTTAACTTGGTGAATTTATTTATGATCTTTATTTTACACTTTCCATTTTAATGTGAGGTTAACATTCCTTGTAGAAGAATTTGATAATTAAGTAAAATGAGTTAATCCATAATATAAATGATTCGTAAAAGATTTTCCACAATCTTGTAATTAATCGTGATTATATGAAAACTTTTTTTTTATTTGAAATTTGAAATCAAACTACAAGGATCTCTTTCAATGTAATAATTTATTAACTAATCATATTAATAATTTTTAACGTTAGGTTTCTATTTTTAAATTATATGAATAAAAGAAGAAATAGAATTAATTAATCAACTAATCATTTTATTTAGTCAAACACGATATCATTATGAAGAATGTATCATTAATATTAATTCATTTCTATAAAATATCGTGCAGACAGTTCAATATTAATAAAATAATATTAGTTCAAAGGGACAAATCCCTGTCAAAATTTCACTATTAATATTAATTTAAAATCACACACTGTTCAATCAATCAACGCGCGAAAATTCGCAGTTATCTCGTAGCTATCATATTTCAAAATTGTGGCATTAAAGAATCCAGAGAAATCGATATCAAGAATTACGACAGTACGACCTAAAGCGATCTCGAAAATTCACGAAGTAAAATCTCGCAGCGCCATCCAGCTTTCTCTACCCCCTCCCTCCCTCCTCGGTCCAAGAGAGAACTTTTTCCTTAAACGCTTTTCCGTGTCATCGAAAATAATTTTCAACGGTGACGTCGGATACTTTTCCACTATGTATACGTATATATGTATATGTATATACATATATATATATATAATATATATACAACTAAAATAATTGCACGATACAGTAGCGAAACGTAGAAGTTATCATAGTATGAAAGTTTGAGGGACCGGTCTATAAAAGTTAAGGAGGTTAAGCAAAGAAGAGGAACTTTTCCTCTTGAAAGATCTTCCTCGGACGTACAACCTGGATAGGTGTACGTGTCTGTGTGTACATTAGCCCGGTATCTTCGTTCGCAAAGGATTTGTTTCTCGTAATTTTTAAATTCCGTCTTCCTTCTTCTGAATGATTACCCGCAGAAAGAATTTTCATTTCGTCCTTCTCTCGATACAGTTCAACCCTCCTCCCTCTTTCTTTCTTTCTTTCTCTACTTTCTTTTCTTTTCTTTTTTTCTTTTTTTTATCCGAAGAAAGAAACCTTTCGCAATCAATTAATTCGAAAACAGAGAATTGAGTTACGAAGTTGGGGAGAAAAAAAGGAGAAAGAGAGAGAGAGAGAGAGAGAAAATATTATCGACCAACTTTTATCAAAATGGAAGTCGGGAGTTGTAGCCGTTGGCAATGTATTACCCGTAATCCCCGAGGATGACGACGCAGGATCTCATTATCCGATATGGCTAAATACGTATACCTAGAAAATGGAATGCTCCCTGTATTCGGCTCGTAAGAAAACCGACGAATATATTGTTTAATTAAGTTCGAAATTTTACGAAAGTTTATTCGACTCGAGAGGGCTCGATACGTTTTTAGTGAAAAATACTTATTGGTCTTGGCATGTTTTCAACGCATTATTAAGTCGAATGTAGGACAATCGAGTTCCGATAGAGGGAACAAGTTTTGAAGGGAAAATTTACACACGAATGTAATTTTCATCGTATCCTAGTTTTCAACTATGCTTGTGTAATGATATTGTACAATGGTGATTTTAATTATTCATATTTTATTGAGGATTTTCGAGAAGTGTCTCTCGAACGTGCGCAAGAAGAGTTGTTATCTTTTTGTTTAGCATTTCGAACTTTTTTTCAATAATTTTTTTTTTCTGAATTCTGGAAAGAATATACCGGATGTTTCGCATAATTTTATACTCGCAATAGAAATTTTGTTTGTTCCTCGTAATATTAAAAAAATTTTTCTCGAATAAAAGTTGAATAGAATCTGTATTCTCGTGTTAATAATTTTTTCGTGGACGTGTATAGAATTCGTGAAATTGAATTTTGTTTTTTTAAATAGAATTATATTTTTAATACATGAATTGATTATATGTGTCTCATTATTCTCTATAAAAAAAGTATATATAATAAAGTTTACAAAAGTCAATAAATTATTAATGTAAAAAGTAATTAAATATAATTTAATACATATAAACTAATAATTTTTATTAAAGAATAATAATGCTGCATCTACTTGCTTATTCGCATTGGAAAATATAATTTCATTTAAAAAAATAAAGTTGATCTTTATATGCGTCATTTACGCGTCCATCTATGGTATGAAAATAATAATTTACATCATGTTACGTGTCCTTCAATTTTCATCTGAAATATTTTTTAATAATTCAAAAAAACAAGCAAGATATTCCAGGTGATAAAATTACGTGAAATATGCAGAATATGACACGTCTCATGCAAACGTCACGTAAATCTAATCGCTTAATTAACTCTAATTATCTAACTTGTTTAACCTAGATATATTCAGCGAAACTGAAATTTGAGGTTATGAAATGGATGAACAGCTATAATTAACATATTTTCTTATATCAACAATAATTCTTCGAATATTCGTTAATAATATTTGTCTTTTTTGTATCATCAACTTTCTTTTATTTTCAATTATCATTATTAGTATCCAAATTCACGTAATTTCTTTTACAATACTTTTTTCAAATATTTATTATACAATTCTCCTTTTTATTTTTAAAATGCTATGACATATAAACTCACGTAATATTTAAAAAAAGAGAGAAAAATATATACTTTAATATAAAGCAGTATATCTATGTATAAAAAAAAATTAGAAGCTAAATAATTTTTTAATTTACGTTGCAAAAAGTCGCAGCGTAGTCTTTCGTTTTGTCAAATTCCATTACGGGTGAATTTTGCGGTATATAATATGGTATATAGAGGTAGATGCTATTTTCTCGAACACGCGCCACCGTAAAAAGAGCCGGTGGAATGTACGGTTATGAAGAAAGTCGGGGCCAGGTTCTTCACACGATGAGACTGAAAGAAAATTAGTAGTATGCGTGCACACGCTTGCAAAGAAACCTTGGCTTATAAGGAATTGCGAAATTGGAGGGCGAGAAGATTGGTTTTGCTCATTTCTTACGGTTAACATCGCCCTCGTAGAATCCGACGAATTTAGAGAGGGAATGTAAACTGGCAAGAAATAAGTCATTCCGGAAACAGCATTCGTTACAAGATGAAGTTATAAGTTAAACACATTTGCATATTTGCAAAGACAATGGAATTTATTTATTCTATTTTAGATCCTTGATTTTGATCTATCATTGATCATTTTATTTCACAAATTTAAAACACTTATAATAATTTCTAATGAATTATTCTTATTTCTTGTATATATTTTTTTAAATATTATTTAAATATAAATTGTATATTTGAATGTATATAAGGAATACATGCAATAATTTTGGAACCATTTTAGTTGCTATCATGTTATATGATTACAAGTGAAGGAAGCAATAATTTAATAAAGATTGGAATTTAATTTTAATGTTTGCAACATCTTCAAGTAATTTTGATCTTTACTACTTGTACATTAATATTTTACATGATAAATTTCATTGATAATCATTGTTATATAAGATAAACAATCATAAGTGATAACAAAAATTAGATTTTAAAATAATTATTCCAAATCAATTATTTAATTTTAATATATACATTCCATGTATATCATATTAATCCCACGAGGGATACCTCTTTGGTGAAACCAACTTGCACGATGACTAAAACAATTAACAATATTTGTCTTTTGCATGCTGGTAGATAGGGGAGCGTACAGCGGGTAGATGTACAAACTGTCTACATTGTTCAAGAATTCAACACAAACAAAATTATACTGGAAACTTTGTCATCTCGTATCAGTTGGTCATTAAATTTTTAACAATATTTTACGGTGAAACGTTTTGTTTAAAAAGTGGTTTATTAATTAATTAAGTAATTTAGACTATTGCAGAGAAAATATGTAAAGCGAAAAAGTACATGGAATCTGATGGGTTGCAATTAATGTCATATATGTTCTCTGGTGGCATTCATCGTTCTCTATTGTAAGGAGAAAAAATAGGCCGATCGGATTGCTGGTCCGAGATTCGAAGCCAGATCTTTCATTTACCGAATGCTGCTATCAATTGAGCAATCCAGGCCACCGATAGATCTTTCCTTGAGCCTAATATTCGAACAGTGGCTGCTGTCGTCGATAGATAAAGAAGAAGGGTAGTAGATAGTTAATAATATTTTTCACTCGAGCTTAATTAGAAAAAGAATTGTCATTTTGACAAGTCAATTATTTTAATCAATTTGATATTGTGATTTCAAACGAGTAGAATATTTCAAATCTTATATATCATAAAAGAAGAAGAAATTGTGAATTTGATATTATTGGATTATGATTAAGAGTTTCAGTTAAATTATGTTTATTGCTTTATTGTATATGATGAAAATGATCTTGCTTTTATTTAATTCTTCAAATCAAATTTCTTCAAATTGTATCATAATTAACTCGTAATATTAGTATCCTTTACAAAAAGTTATGGCTTACGAGCAACTACCTTAGTATTAACTGTCAAAGGGTAAAGTTTAAGTTAATTGCAACAGAAAGCGGATCCCAGGAGTGTATGATGAAGTACAAGATCCTCTTTGAATTGTGCACTCTGGAGGATCGTGTAGGTTCTACTTTTTAAAGAGTTTTAAAGTACTGGCACATCAGCTTTTGCTGA